CTTCAATTCGAATTCATCAGTTATTGAGAATGCACGAGAATAAATGCGCCTCAAGTTTTAATATCATCGGTACAGACATCTAAAGAAAGTTGAATAAAGAAATTAATAAAGGTATTTTAATAATATTAAATCAATCGCGATTTTCTTTTTGCAATAAGAAAAATATATCGATAATAATAATCCGAAAAAATATAGAGAGCGAACACGCGTCTATATGATCCAAAACATGTGGATAATTGGCATCCCTGATACATGTCGTGCTGATCGACAGCAACATAAGGGGAAGCGAAATGTGCGAGCGCGGAATTACGGCGTTCCATTAGCGAGCATTTTATTTACTACCCTAACGCGCGGTAATCACACGCGTATGCGCCAAACTGGAATGATTATAAGCACATTTGCTGGAATTATTAATGCGTTAAAAAATATCAAAATAAATCTTTAATTAAAAAAGAACTTCAAAATAATTGATGACTAAAAATAAGCCAAAAAAAAATTAAAATTATTACTGTGTACGAAAGCGGTTGAGATGCAATTATCAATCCTTATACGATAATATCGTGCTTTTTAATTTGATTTCCGTCATTAAGGTTGAACATGATGACAATTATCAGATAAAACGCGACAATAATGATAGCATTATTACATGTTCATTAGAATTATCTTAAAAACCGGTTATTATTTGCAATATTCGCCCGTTACATCGGGAACAATTTTCAAACCGTGGCGAGCTCGTTGACGACACCTTTCACGACGTGACGAGCAATAAATCGCCATGTAAAGAAACGCTTTAGGAGGTTTGATATGAGGCTGGCGAACCGGTTTGAGGCTGCGTTCGATGCAGATGCGCCGAGACCCCCTACGAAATCTCGTAATGAGACGATTTAGACGCGAAATCTACGCTTAAGTCGAGTGTCGACGAGCTCTCTTTCGAGACCGGTAGAAATAAAGACTGATCCTTCCTTCTGAGAGAACGTCACGTTGCCTGCGAAGTTCGCACAGCAACATTGTTGATCGCTCAGAGCAATCATAAAAAAAAAAATGATATCGCAATTCTAGATCTCAACTGTCGACTAGTTTGAATTTTCCAACTTGCGTATAAACTGAGAATAAAACTTATATTAAACTATTATATTAAAAATCTAATTTTCAAATACTTTTCACTTGAATTAAACAAATCATGCAATTTTTAATTCGATCAGAGCCCTGATAATTGATTGCAAATTTTTTCCAATGCGTTTGTCGAAAAAAGATTCATATGAGAACAGAAAAAGAGCGAGCGGAATTTACGAAGAGCACGATATCGCCTAATTCCACTCGCGCCGCGTCAGAGCCTTCCTCGAAGCATTCGCGAAGGAAACGATAGTCTGCATTTCTGTCGGCATGACAAATCGCGCGAGTCGCGCGGTATCGTTCCGCGGCGACAACGCAACTATTCCATTAAAATTCGCAGCGACGGCGGCGGCGAACGATAACGACGCCGTGGATATACTCGGGCGCACTCCGTCGCGGCGTCATCGTTGTCGTCGTCGGCGGCAGCGACGGCGCCGACTAAGCGCACGCGAAAGTTTCGTCCATCGCGGCGCTACTTCAACCGTCGGCGAGATTATATGCGGAATCCGTACCTCGATGGTAAACGGGTTTCTATAGGCTCGTGCGAAATACCGGATGGCTTGACAAGAGCAATTTATCATGCTCGATCTGTATTTGCATACGTCGTCGGAGAGCCCCGTCGCTCATACCCGCCGCGACATCACATAGTCGAGTGCCTTTTGAAATTTGCGTGTTTGCGAATACGGGGTCGCTCTCTATCTTCCTTTCTCTCTCTCTCTCTCTCTCTCTCTCTCTCTTCTTCTCCTCTCTTCCGCTCATTCCACCTTCATACGCAATCGCCCTCTGAACTCGGCGAACCCTCCCTCTTTCTCTCGCTCCGCAGCGCATCGCTTCAAACGTTCCCCGACGAATGCTTGCGAGTTTCTGTTCGAGACAAACGATGCGCGAGATATGAATTCGTGCGCGGGACTTAACTGATCGTTTCGAGAGACCCCCGGACGATGCGTCGCGGCGGCGGTAATCGCGGGAACGCTGGACGCTGAGAGAGAGAGAGGAGATCCATCCTATATTCCGTGACGTCCGTCTGCGGTATCGTGAGCCCGATGTCCCGCGAATTCAGTTACGTAGGCGCCGCGTTCGATTCTCATCAGCGCGCTTTACCTGTTCCGCAACGGTGGAGCGACGAGCGAGCGATTAACTTGGAAAGCGATGAACAGACCCCGGCCGACTCGTGTCGGGTAGATCATATCGAGACTATATTTCACATTTCCGTTTACACTCGAAAGATCTTAAGCCCCTTCGCGACCAGAGCGAGTCCAGTTTTCCCTTGTTCTCCGGTCTCAGCTCCAAGCGTGGGGCCAGCGGTCACGCCTCTTCCCAAACGGCCGTCGGGCGCAATGCTCGATACAGATAAGTCATGTCCGTCATTTTTCAACACTCGCGACGCGATTCACCCGGGCCTCTCCCCCCCCCCCCCACCAATCTTCCCCCAAACCCCCGTCCGCCTCTTTCAACGGTCGCACCGCCGGCAATATCGGACGGACAGCGCGGTGACGACGATTTCTCATCGGCTGCAGCACCGCCGGACTTTTCCAGCGGCGCGAGTTTTATCTCGCGCTTCCACCCTTAATTTGATTAATCGACGAGGATCTTGACCCTCCGCGCCGGCATTAATCACCGGTCCGGTCGTATGCATACATGGCCGCGGCATTAGGAACACGCTGGGAGACACGGAGACGGACTCGTCATTTGTTAGAACCGCTTGTTTAGAGAAGCTTTACACACTCGACCGGCTCTTCCGCCCCGGCGCGCGGATATTAATGGCAGATTAATTCGGCGATGGTACATCCTTGCGCGAAAGACTCGATGTTACGTGAGAGACTCGGACAAGTTGCGCGCTCGCGATACGCGTCATCTGGCCGCAATGTAATTTTTATTTATCATAATAATTGCATGTCGCATTCTCTTAGCGTCAGTTTTATTCCGTAGCGTCGATAAAAAAATGTCGGAGAAGAGATGCGAAAATTCCGTCATAAGAATTTAATTTTTATGTAAATAGCGAAGCAAACGTACGCTTTTTTCACACATTTTCATTAATATAAATTATGAATTTTATAAATAATATATTGCGAAATTATATTTTGAGATATTATATCCCTTATGCTAAAACCATGAATGTAAATAAATCCAAAGTATCTAAAGTATCCTAGGCTCTGATTGTAAATACAAAATCAAGTAGCGCAAAATAAATTTCACAAAAAAAAAAATGTTTCAAGAAAATTTGCTTATTCATGGTTTGGAAACAAGGAGAGCGATATGTAAAGAGAAAAATTGAGTAAAAACGCGTTATATTGTGCATAAAACACAATGATTATAATTTCCTTTACAATAACTTGTAAATTTTTTTCGTGGTTTTTGTATTCTCACATTAAGCGATCGTTGCGCCACTCAATATTAATGCATTAACATCATACGATGACCTACGGAGCAGCGCGGGTAAAAACGGACGATTAGAAAAAACGCAGCCGCTATTGCGAGCACTAAACTTTCGCCCTGATTTCGAGTCGGCGGTAGAGCCCCTGGTGCCGGAGGGTCATAGGTTTTGATTTACTAGCTGTTTATACCCTTTTCAACCCCTGGGGCCTGCATTATAACCGTGTTTATACTAATAGCCTTGCGCAGAGTCGCGCTAGGTTCACAGGTCTAGGTGTGATTTACCGACAATGTTGTCGCTATTAACGCGACGGTAAGAAAGATAAAAATGCGGCACAATAGAGCCGTGCGTACGTCGCGCTCGCAGGCCAAAAGACGATGACAATGATATTCGGCTATTATCTGTCAGCTCGTAAGATTATGACTTCCGTCTCAAAGAGCATCGAAAGAAAAAGCTTGGGAGATATCAAAATACGTTCCAAACAAGCAGCTAGCCGTTTCTGTTGATGGAAATTAAACTGCGTCCGTTTAACTATCATACATCATCCATCCAGAGAGAAAAGCTCGCGATAAACTGACATGAGCAATAAACGTAAGATATAAAAGAGGGCATCTATGCAAATCTACCTGAAAATAGCTCTCTTCGATGCATTTGACGCTTAAAAGCGACCATTACTTATCCCACCCGAGTGACAACGTATAATTTTGGAGATCAACTTGCAATAAATACCGTTTTTTGACGGTGTAAAATAAAGTATCCGTAAATAAGATTGAGCCATTCCACTCGAGGTCGGTAAATCAAGAAGTCCTGGAGGATGTCATCGCGGATGGAGGTGCGATATCTGCGAGGGAACGGTCGAGCGATACGGTGCGGAGCGGATGGAGGAGGAAGGAAGGAAGGAGGAACCTGCGCTGGGATCTCCAGTAACAGGATGTAATTATGATCGGTGAGATACGTCACGCATAACCCCCGTATTGACGTCCACAAATCACGCTGCACGGCCGGCCATGCGGTATCTCGCGCCACTCGAGGGACTGCGATCCTCAAACTCGAGCGGCCTAACGCGACACTAAATCCAGAATTATGTACGCCGCCGCGCGTAGACGTCGACGTGGACGCGCGGAATCTCCCGAGGATTCGCCGTGTCAAACGTAGGAAATGTAATGTCCCCGAAATTAGCACTTAAGGCGCACTCGTGAGATACTATCACCTGTCCGATGAGACGGGAATGTATGTAGAACATGTGCAGGCTGCACCAGAGAGTTATTTGTCTACAACTTCCGAAATACTCCCACGATTTAATCTTTGTAAGATGTTACTTCGCATTATTCTATCATTGTATGCGGCAGACGCACAGACAATTGTGGAAAAAATAATTATACAAATAATATATATTTTGCATAACATAATACATATCATATTAACACACATAACAATGTGTTATCAATTTCATAATATAAAATTATAAAGAGAAGCTACGGAAAAATTGTACATTAATAATTCAATAATTTAAGCTACATTGCAATCAAATCGCTTTCGACGTTTTATAAGAATTTCTATAAAAGTTCCAAAAAAGTATTATATTTGGTATACCATTAATGAATGTGACGATCCCGAGATACTCAGCCATCTTATTATTGCAGGTAGATGTAAAGCCTTGCAGACCACTCGTCATTATGAAGAAAATCTGTATCTGTTAAATAATAACATTTAACGCTATTGACAAATATCGAGAGAGATAAAATACTGTGCTTCTGCTCACTATTTGTACGGTAGTAATCCACTTCTTCAATGGTCGAAGCTTTTGTTGCATGTATAATCCACAAGTGCTCAGGAAGTAATACGAATACATTATTACGTGCACCCAAGCATTGAGCGCTAAGATACTCGTCACAAAACCATGGGGGAAATATCTTAGACACAACCAAGCATAAATAACCGTGGAAATGTGATGGTACACGTGTAAAGCAGAAATTTGCTGATATTTTTTCCTCAATATGAACACAATGGTTTCGCTAAGATCAATTATTTTAAGCAATAGCGCCCACCATATTATTTCAAGTTGCTGCAATAAACACATTGTTAGCCTGTTATCGGAATCGTTATTTTTTAAATTGCTAATTATTGCAAAGTAGTTTTGCAAAGTCGTGATTGTTTAATATTACTATATCCATTCATCACATATACATATGTATAAGATTTAAACAAGACACAAGTTGTTTATCCTTGAGAATAATATATGCATACACTCTTAGATAAAATTAATGCGCATCATGTTATTGAATAAAATTAAAAAACGCATTTGCTCTAATTTATTTTCATATGATATACAATTCATTTACCAATTCGAAGTTTAAACTTTTGTTATTCAACATGGTGCGTTAATTTTGTCCAGCAGTTTATTTGTAAGCAATATATTCAAAATAAATTAATCTTAAAATGTATGATCCGATATCTAGGTAATATATTTATCTAATAAACAATCATAATTTCTACTTAACGTTTGCAAAATCAAAACAAACGCGACTTTTTTCTATCAAAAATAAATTAATTAACAAAATAAATTAATTAACAAAATTTTTCATAATCGTCAGAAGTGATCAATTCATAATATCCAAAAATACAATTCAAACTTAAAAAAAAAAACAGCATTATAGTTTTGTGTAATAAAAATATTATTAATCTATTATTAGAGTTATTATTATTTAAATTGCTAATTTTTGCCTCTTTATATTGTGCAATAAACATCCACTGTAACAATAAAATAAATTCTTTGTTTATCAATGACATTGAATAGATACTTAAAATGATTTATCTACAAACAACTTATCTACTTATTTAGAGATAAATATGTATTAAAAATACAGAAATATACATTATGATGTGCAAAAGTTTCCGACCTGAGAAAATGTTCACTCTGTTTTTCAAAAGCGAGGTCTAAATAAAGTGTAACTAGTATTATTTGTGAGATGTAAGAAAATAAAAGAAAATAACATTTTTATTGTTTCGTATGTACTCATTTACTAACTTTCTAAACTAGCATGTTCAAAAGTTTGCACTTTTCATATTTTATGTCGAATGGTGCCAGAGAGTGTCGCTTGATTAAAAATTAAGTTCATTAGTTTTTGGAAGTGAGTGATTGAAAACCAAATTAATTTTTGGTTATACAAATTGGAGAATATACATAACTAGCACTCGGAATACTCGGAAGTGCAGGCTACTTTGTTTACTTAATTTTTACATGACTTTAAAATATTCATATATGAACACTGTCACGCTAACTAAATAGAATTAACTGTAAATAAATGGTTGAAACAATAAGATAGATTGAAATATTCCTATTAAAAAAATCGGAATAAAGTAATCAAATCATCAGAAGATTGTAAATCTTCTTAAGAAATCACTGCTTTACGTTGGAAAATTTGAACTGAATCATCGCAAAATATTGTAGAAAACATGATCTAAAAAATTTTCTACAAAGTAGCAGGCACGAAAAACACTAGATAAAATCAATAAAATATCAATAAAATTATTAGATAATAGACTGTGACACAAAAAAGACTGCAAGTATCGAAATTACACAAAAAATTACGTAGACAAGAAAATGACCTATAAACGACTTATCTATTTATTTGTTACTTGGTCATTACTGCTATATTTAGTCGCTCTAGAAAAAAATCATTAAAATTAAAAAATCACCTTTTAAAATTTACTCGATAACTTTAAGTTTAAAGATGTAAAAATTTTTGAACTAGCAATTTTAATCAACAGATTTAAATTCAATTAAATACCTATAGAAAAGGAGCTAAAGCATCGAATTAAAAGATGTAAATACTCAAATAAAATATTTTATTTATGATTCTAACAAAAGAAAAAAAGAAAAAATTTCTTTCGATTTCATTAAACGTTTGGTCGACTTCTGCCTCGCCGCTGTGCCACCTGTAGAAGACATGACTACGAAAAATTAATGATAATATATGATTAAACTATTTTTATATCAATTATATTGTAAGAGACATTGCTTATTTATTTTAGAAAACAAAGTAACCAAAGACTTTTAAAAATGCTTATTCAAACTCTTAAATGTTAGAAATAATATTAATTAAAATTTACTTAAATCCCGCTTTCGAAAAAAAACAAAAATTATCTCTAACCGAAAACTCTTGCATGTTATTATATAAATATATGCTATTTGATTGTATCTTTACTTGTAACTACAAGTAAAGTGCAAACTAGCTGAAAACAATTTCAAAACGTACAACTCGACTACTTGAAAATTCCGAGTACTAGTTATGTATATTCTCCAATTTGTATAACCAAAAATTAATTTGGTTTTCAATCACTCACTTCCAAAAACTAATGAACTTAATTTTTAATCAAGCGACACTCTCTGGCACCATTCGACATAAAATATGAAAAGTGCAATTGCATTTCTTGATGATTAAGATTTTATACAAAAAAAAATTTCTTGTAAAAACATGATTTACACAGAACATGTGCATATAACACATTCCAGCGTAAATAATTAACTTTTACGTACCTTCTCGATGTTATTACCGCAAATTTGATCAAAGGAATCGCAATATTTCCACAGGGCAGTGAATGGTCTACCATATACCACGATGTTAAACACTATCAAAAAATTTGCGATAACTTGGAAAACATTGTAGCACTGCATAAATCCTTTCAATGAATAAGGCTGCCTGTCCTTCATAAATTTCGGGCCGCTAACGTAAATAATATATAAATAGACTAGAATAATACTAAGCGTTGGTATTGGCGAAGGTACTAAGGCCCATCTCATCGTTCGCAAATCTGTGAATTCTATATAATATGGCCTAATGTAATTGTTGTAAGAAAAGAAAAACTTTGTAATATAAAGAAATTTACAAATTAAAAAAAAAGTAGTCCGATTTCTTTGATAAACTTAAAGCTTACCAGCCATCCTTCAGAATGTAATAGAGTTAGCGAAACTAAAACACTTTACGTTAGCTTCACTCTAGTTGATGCTTATTCTGTAACGAAATAACCACGACTACCGCGCCACAGAAAGATCAGCGCTTTTAAAGCAATAACATTACATAATATGCATATGCATTACTCATGTAGAATTCTTTCGAATTTGGCAGCATAAATACTGGCCAGTATTTCAATAGAAATAAATGCCTGGATATTGAGATTGACATTTTTAACTTTATCACATTCTTGTTAAACTATTAGTCAATTACATAAACAGACAAACATTGTTTTGACAAATTTCGTTGTAAAATTGACTAAATGTCGAAGTGTGGTCGATCTATCAATTTTTAACTTTTCAGCAACTATTTGTGTTGAAACCCAAGGATTAGTATCCACACAATTGCGACTAATGTCATCATTAACATTAGAACCGGAGCGCGGCTGATCTTCGAGATTAAGATCTCCCCGTTTAAATTTTTCGAACCATCTTTCGCAGGTTGGAATCGACACAGTGTTTTCTCCAAATACGTCATAAGCGTTTCTTGCCGTATTTGAAATGCCTGTTCCTCTCCGACATTCGTACATCATGATTACACGTAAATGAACTCTGTCAATCATTTTTAATTTTCATTGAAAACAACGGAACTAACTAGAATCAAATCAATTCTTGTTTAACTTGAAAGCGTAATCTATCCAATAGTATGAACATATCAGCATATTTTTTCAGTGTGCCGTGAAACTGCACACATTAAGTATGACATCTATCACGAAAACCATTAAAATTGCATTCACCCAATACTTTAAAAAACAATTCTTAAATTAATTTTCCGAAGAGTTTGCTTTTATCATTTTTATATTATTATCAATTTTATTATGGTTATAATTTAATTCAATGTATTATTAAACATTGACTGAAATACACGTCAGGAATCGATTGTATACAACATACTGACGTTTTCTAATGTATTAATGCACATTTTAGCAATTTGGCAAAAAACAGATCGTCTTTCAGGTGTTAAATAGATATTTTTTTATGACGTTCATGATATAAATTATGTATTACTTCATATACATGACTTTATTCGTTTAAATTCTAATTTATTTTATTGTCTTTTTTTGTATTTTATTGTCTTTGTGTACTGTATTTTATTGTCTTTTTTAGATGACTCTCCTTCTTGTTTACTGACTTTTAATTCTTAACGCATGATTTTTCTCAAATTTTTACGCACTGCGTATTATCCAATTTTCCTTAATAATCTCGGTAATTTCAATAATACCTACAAAATACATAGTGAGAACCCAAGAAAAAATGGTATAATTGGTCAGATGTAAATATATATAATTAGTTATAAAAAAATCTAATATTTTTTTATGACGTTCATGATATAAATTATGTATTACTTCATATGCATGACTTCATTTGTTTAAATTCTAATTTATTTTACTGTCTTTTTTAGATGACTTTCCTTCTTGTTTACTGACTTTTTATTTATAACGCATGACATCTAATAACATACGTAATTTTATATGATTATATAAAATATTACATGTTATCAGATCTTTTCATAACTAATTATATATATTTACATCTGACTATATTATACCATTTTTTCTCGGGAAAAAACATAGATTTCACTAAAAATGACAAAAGATTTATCCATAACAGATAGAGCCTTATCTCTTTCCTAATATCACTCTCTGTCTTCGATGTATTCTCTCTTTCGTATATAGTATGTCAAAAAAAGCAAATGTAATTTTTTGACGAAATATTACCATTAATGTAAAGTATGTTACATTAGCATTAAATAAAAACTCGCAATCGCAATAATACATATTACATCAGTATATCGTATACACCAGTGCATACGATTCATTATCCCATTTCATTTATGTTTTTTCTTTCACTTTTTTTTCACTGCTTTACTCTATATTTTTTTCTTTACGACTTTAAGAAACACGTTACATACCTTGACTTTTTATATTTATGTTTGCATATTAATACCTATAAAATTTTATACAAACGTGTGCAAATGTGCGTAATAAAACAACGATATTACCAAGAAGTGATTCAAAGTCCTGTCAAGCAGCGATTCAAATCTATCGCGTCGTCTCACAGACGCGAGCGATTAATTCGTCGCGGATAATTGCATTTCGCAGTGCGTCCGTGCAACGCGAATGTGTCTCGCTAGCCGTAGGCGCTACGGAGCATCCGGAGCCTGCCCGGAACTTCCGCCTCGCCGGATGTTCCGCGACCGCTCGCCGCCGTCCTACCCTTTATCCACCCTCTCCCCGGGACCCTTTAAACTCCCTTCGATAATGCCGCGTTCCTATGTGGCATCGGCCATTAACTGCGATATAGCGGACGATCACGTGACGTAACCGTGGGTAACATCAAAGCCAAAGGCATAGTTGCACCCCAGGGACGGCCTATGACGTTAGCCTATCTCGTTGCAGTTCGCCTGCAACTGCACCGCCTCGAGGCGTCGTCGACGTTAGCGTCCGTCGTCCCGCTGCAGTTAGCTAGGAATTTCGGCTTTAATGCTTAACCACTTTCCAGATTGTCGGGGCTGACGCGTATGCGCAGTACCGTCGCAAATTATTCAGTCAACGCGCTCCTCTGCACTGGATGCCTCTCCATAAAGGATGCAACATTACGGATACACATTACGATTATTATGGATTAAATAGTGCCTACGAATGAATAAATACATTTTCTGCTACATTCGCCAATTCTCCCAGTTGGTTATGCGCATAGAGATATTATCGAGACTGTCACGTATCCACCTGACGTTAAAAAATACACTTCACACTATGATGTACATGCCACTGAATTTCAACGGACAAACGGAAGTCAAAAAATGATGAATGACTAACCAAAAAGAAGTATTATGCAATTTATATATTGCGCAACCTACAATCAGACATTCGCACAAAGGAAGTAGCAAAGAAATAGAGACGGTCTTACATGCAGCTATTACACAGTCGCGGCTTCCTTCCTTCCTTCCTTCTTTCCACCCTTCCCCGTCTTTGTTGTGAACGACGAAAGAGTTTCACGGTATTTAAGCAAGTTGTGCGTGAAATAATGACAAACCATCAACCATATGTTGCAATGTTACGACAATGTAATACCGTCCAGCGAGACTTGATAATTACTCCCGTCTCAATTTGTTCCGTTCTGATTGCTAAATGATCACGGAACTGACCTGAGATAACTATTACTTACACGGTCCACTCGCTTCGCATATTGCGCATCTGCGATACCTTACGTCTGAGAAATTGAAATACAGACGATCACATCAAAATACTTTCAATTTTTTTATTTGTATGCAATTTTTCGAATAAAATAAATAAGATTCTTTAAATAAGAGAAGCGAAACAAAATTTTTTTCTATATAAAAGTCTATGAATAATTACAAAAAGTCAAAAAGTAAAGAAATTCTTTTTATTAAAAACATCTTTTAAAGTAATCTACATTTCAATGTTATTTTGAAATGCAGATCTATTTTACTCTTTTACTCTTTCTTTTGTCTCTCTAAATATTCTGTTTTTGACTTGCCTAAATTTAGAATAAGTATTCTTTTTGCTCCGAAAAGTAGAAATATATAATAGTATAAAAATAGTAATATAATATAATCATTTACATAATAAAGTGCTTGCATACGTAATGCCTTACAATTGTACAGTACGATTTCTATTGGAGAAGGAATTGAAGAGGTAAAGAATTCCGGAACAAGTGCATAGGAGGGAGAGGAATAAGGAACATGTAGGAAAAGAGGAAGCGATATAGGAGCACAAGCAAATGTTTTCGCGACAATAGACAGGATGTGCGAAGGGTTACCATTGCAAATCACAATAGCGACCGCAAAACGCGAATGACAGGTTGAATAGACGTGACTAGAGAAACGAGTCCTGACGGTAACCTATTATTACCGGGATCTCTTTTATACAGGCTATTCTGTGGGAAAACTACGGTCCGTGTAAGAACCATTTTTAATTCATCGATGAAATAGAAAAATACCGCATCCTCGCTTCATAGATTTCTTTAGACCCCGAACGTTCGATAAATAGTACGATAATAGCTGTAGAGCCTATAAATAATGCGATGTAACGTAGTTTAATCGTTTAAGGAAGTATAATAGAACAGAACGAAACTTCTTGATAAACATAAAATATCAAATTTCTTTTTAAATTCTTGCAAATTCTCAAAATTTGAACAATAAAAATTCTGAAGCTACAAATTCATATTTAAAATACGACTCCTTTATTTTTTTATATATATTTTTTCAGGAATAAATAACTTGTTATTCTATATAGAATATAATTAAAACAGAGAGTAGCAGAATTGTTATGATTGGGCTGATACGTTTTTGTGTATCAATATCACTACCATATGTCACTCTATTGTAGAAGTCCCCAACTTTTTTACCAAGAAGACCGCATGAAAATTTTAATAATAATAAATTGAAGTCCGGAGGAACATGTACATATATTCTCAAAGTTACTAAGCATGCCAAAACTATGCATTCATGAGTGAAAAAAAAGAAGAAAGAAAAAAAGAAAGAAAAAACAGAAAAGATTGCAAAGAATGCATCGCTAATTATAATAAGAAACTACACAATTTTAATTTTATATATATATATATAAATTATGTATATATATAACGCCAAAATTTC